TGATACCAAAGCCTGACAAGGACAACACAAAAAAGGAAAACTCCAGGCCAAAACTGTTGACAAATATAGAGGCAAAAATCCTCAACAAAATATTGGCAACCCAAAAACAGCAATACATCCAAAAAAATCATACATCACGATCCAGTGGGATTTATACCAGGGAAATGGGGATGGTTCAACATCTGCAAATCAATCAGTGTGATACACCACATTAACAAAATGAGGACTAAAACCCACATGATCATCTCAATAGATGCAGAGAAAGCATTTGATAAGATCTGAGAGCCATTTAGGATAAAAACTTTAACAACATGGGGATAGAAGGAAATTACCTCTACATAATAAAGGCCATATATGACAAACCCACAGCCAACATCATACTCAATAGGGAAAAACTGAATGCCATCCCCCTGAGAACAGGCGCAAGACAAGGGTGCTCACTATCAGCAGTGTCATTCAACATAGGACTGGATGTTTTGGCGGGAGCAATTAGGCGAGAGAGAGAGAGAGAGAGAGAGAGAGAGAGAGAGAGGGAGGGAGGGAGGGAGGGAGGGAGGAAGGAAGGAAGGAAGGAAGAAAAGGAATCCAAATAGGAAACGAAGAAGTGAAACTCTCACTATTCTCAGACAAATGATCTTACATATAGAAAATCCTAAAGAATCCACTGGAAAACTGTTAGAAATAATCAACAGCTACAGTAAATTTGCCAGGTACAAAATCAACTGACAAAAATCAGTTGCATTTCTACACAAACTTGCAGAAAGAGAACTCAAGAATACAATTCCATTTACAATCCCAACAAAAAGAATAAAATATCTAGGAATAAATTTAACCAAGGAGGCAAAAGACTTATACAATGAAAACTAAAAGACATTATTGAAAGATATAGATGATGACATAAAGAGATGAAAGGAGATTCCATGCACATGGATCAGAAGAATAAACATAGCTAAAATGTCCATACTATTCAAAGCAATCTATAGACTCGATGCAATCCCAACCAGAATCCCAATGGCATTCTTTACAGAAATAGAATAAAGAATACTAAAATTCATATAGGGCAACCAAAGACCCTGAATTGCTAAAGCAATCTTGAGAAAAAAGAACAAAACTGGAGGCATCACAATCCCTGACTTCAAAATGTACTACAAAGCCATAGTAATCAAAACAGCATGGTACTGGTACAAAAACAGGCACACAGATCAATGGAACAGAACTGAAAGCCCAGAAATAAAACCGCACATCTATAGACAGCTTATCTTCCACAAAGGTGGCAAGAACATACAATGGAGAAAAGATAGTCTCTTCAATAAATGGTGTTGGGAAATCTAGACAACCACTTGCAAAAGAATGAAAGTAGACCATTATCTCACGCCATACGCAAAAGTAAACTCAAAATGGATAAAAGACTTGAAGATAAGTCCTGAAATGATAAAACTTCTGGAGGAGGAAAATATACGTAATATACTCTGTGCTGTCAAACTTAAAATGATCTTTTCGAATACCATGTCTTCTCAGACAAGGGAAACAAAAGAAAAAATAAACAAGTGGGACTTGATCAGACTAAAGAGCTTCTGCAAGGCAAAAGAAAGTAGGATCAAAACAAAAAGACAACCCACCAACTGGGAGAAAATATTTGCAAATCATACAACTGACAAGGAGCCAATCTCCACAATATATAAAGAACTTACACAACTGAACAACAAAAAAACAGACCAATCAAAAAATGGGCAGAGGCTATGAACAGACATTTTTCCAAATAAGAGATACAGATGGCCAATAAGCACATGAAAAGATGTTCAACATCACTAATCATCAGGGAAATACAAATCAAAACCACACTAAGATACCATTTTACACTTGTTAAAATGGCTATAATCACTAAGACTAAAAATAACAAATATTGGACAGGGTGTGGAGAAAAGGGAACCCTTATACACTGCTGGTGGGAATGCAAATTGGTACAGGCACTCTGGAAAACAGTATGGAGATTCCTCAAAAAACTAAAAATAGGAATACCATATGACCCAGCTATCCCACTACTGAGTATCTACCCAAACAACCTGAAATCAACAATCCAAAGTGATCTGTGCATCTCTATCACTGCAGCACTATTCACAATAGCCAAGACATGGAAGTAATCCAAGGGCCCATCGACCAATGATTGGATAAAGAAGATGTGGTATAAATATACAATGGAATACTACTCAGCCATAAAAAAAAGATAAAATCACCCCATTTGCAACAACATGGATGGACCTGGAGGGTATTATGTTAAGTGAAATAAGCCAGGCTGAGAAAGACAAAGACTGTATGACTTCACTCATGTGTGGAAGATAAACACACAGACAAAGAGAACAGTTCAGTGGTTACCAGGGGAAGGTGGGTGGGGAGTGAAGGGGAGCATTTATATGGCGACAGACAAGAAATAATGAAGAACTGAAACTTCACCATGACATAAACTATTATGAACTCAATAAAAACAAAAAAAATTTCTAAACCTGCAACTTTAAAGATTTTTATTTTTCCTTTTTCTCCTCAAAGCCCCCTGGTACACAGTTGTATATTTTTAGTTGTGGGCTTATCTAGTTGTGCTATGTGGGATGCCGCCTCAGCGTGGCCTGATGAGTGATACCATGTCTACGCCCAGGATCCGAACTGGCGAAACCATGGTCTGCCGAGTGGAGCACACAAACTTAACCACTTGGCCACGGGGCTGGCCCCTAAACCTGCAACTTTATATAAAACAATTTTCATCTATTGCTTTCTAGCCCCACTGCTGTTGTAAATGAAGCCTTTGGAAAAATTAGAGTGAAAAAACTCCTTCTTCAAGATATTTCACTAGCCTCTGCCTGTCATTGTCTTAACATATCAACTACCATGACTATGGATGTAAACAGTACGTCATGGAGTGAGATATACAGCACACGACCTGTACTACTCCGTGACCACAACTGCTTTGCTTACAGGTTTGGAGACACACATGGAGTTTACACTGTTTCTATATTCATCTATGACAAATGTCCTAGCTGACATTTTCCTAAATGAGAACGAGAACAACCTTTGCTGCATTTCACGATTACCTTTGCTCACCATCTTTCTGATCATACAAAAAAACTGAGTTTATTTTAAATAAGACTTTAAGAAAAACAAAACCATAAATTGTACATTGCTTCAAGAATACAAATTGTATTCCAAATAAGAGTTTAGCCCTATCTTAGGGCGACATTATATGTAACAACATTATAAGTGACATTACATCCATTGTACAAATCTCAATGTTTCAAAACTTGATAAATTTCTAATAAATCTAAAATAAAACTCACAAAAATAACATTTACATCACTGAAATTGCTTGGAATGGGGAAAAGTGAGTAAGCCGTCACTGACAGTCACGAAGGAATTCATAGATTCCATAAATGTTATCAATCTTATCAACGAACAATATTCACGTTTGAACAACCAAAGTAAAGCTATGCAACCAAAACAACCCTTATCTGTCTAAAAGTAAAATAAAACATAAAATGCTGGCCTAAGTGTCAACTTAGGAATTCAACTTAGGAACTTGAGGAATTCAATAAAGCTAATGAAATCTGGAAGCCATATGACAGATTTTCTGCAATGTATATAACACCCTTCTTACATGATAATATCAGATGTCAAAGCAATTTCATGAGAATTAGTTAAAAATATTAAAATTTTGCTCCAACTACTTTGATTCAAAACTAACTTTTAAGGATGAATTACCTATCAAAATGAGTTAAAACTTTCAAGAGAATGATCAGGTTACTTATTACATATACTGATAACCGATTTCCAGGCTAACATGATAAAAACATGGTAAATGTAGAGAATCATCTGTGAACTAGTTGTTTTATAAAACCAGACTGTTTCTAACACCTAATCCACATGAAATCAAGCCTCAGTATTTTCTAGAGAGAGAAATATATATGAATCACAAATGTCAACCTTTAGCATAGTACCAGTGAAGACTCTTTCTTGTTAAAACAATCTCAGTACTATTCCTAAGGCAACATCTCCAAAGGGAACAAACAACTTGGACAGAGCAAATGTCACCAGGTGCAACGTGAAGGAATAAGCTATATATAGTACTAGCTTGTCATTCAGTCTGAAACACCATTCCTTCCTTCATCCTATTAAAGTACTGACTTGCATGCATTTGACATCCAGCCAGAGAAAGAGCAACTTATGTCATCTTTTAAAATAAAGACGCAGAGTTCAATGTGTTCGTGAAATAGGTCTGAACTGCAAGTCATCTTTCTTTAGAACAGCAATCTTCTAAACATTAGTTTCCCTTTCCAGAAGTTAGAACAAGCTGTTACTTGACGAGTTGATGATGGCTGGTAGTCAAGAAAGACCATCACAGGCTCCTTCACTGTTCTAGGACCTCGGTCTATAGATTTAGTTTGTACAACAGACCTTGTATCAAGATGATGATCAAATCACTAACCTCTGTTTTAAGATGCATAAATTTCAAATCACATTCATTATAGCATTATTTATAATAAAAAGTATCAAAAATTTACCCTTTACAATCACTAACTAAATTGTGGAAAGTTCAAATGACTGAATATTAAACAGACATTAAAATTTATAAAGAGTAAGCCTTTATAAAGAGTTTTTAATGTTATGAGGCAATGCATACATATGTTCTTTAATTGAAATAAGCAAGATATTAAATTATTTACAAAGTATGCTCTTAAGTATGTGGAACACACACATGAGACTAGACAGAAAAACTCTAGAATACTATTAAAGAATAATTATCTTGGAGGAGAGATTTTAGTTGATGTTTTTCCTTCTCCTTATCTTTGATAATTTATATAGTAATTAGCACTTTTTACATTAAAATTATATGTAATTTTAAAAATATGCTAATGCTTAAATATTGTTTGCCTACACTTTCTTCCAAGTTCAAAAAGAGCTAGAGTTTCCAAAAAGGGACCAAATAGTAGGTCCTGTGTTTGAAGGAGTAGGAAAGTGTTGCTATTCAATTCTCCATTCCTCCTGGAAACAGAATTCTAGAATTATAGGAGTTGGTTCACAGGGTCACTCCATACTTCCTCGGCAGAATTCTAGGAAGTACAACCATCCACCATCTCACACTGCCAGAGTTTTCTCAGTCACAAAATGCAGGTAATAATTGCACCTGTCTCAAATGATGGTTATGAAACTAAATGATTCAACATATATAAAGATTTTAGAATGGTGCCTGGCAAATAGAAATCACTATCAAAGCCTTCGCTATTTTTCTATCATTATATTTACTACTATAACTATTACCACTTCTATTACTACTACTACCACCACCAACACTATTACCATTACTATGACTCTTGCTACTATAAGAACAACAAATAGGCAATAGAGCTTCCCTCCCTCATGGGGCCATTTGCCTAAGAAAATACTGCCTGCCAGTCTGATCTCAGGGAAGCAGAAGGGCAAAGAGGCATGAGAATGGCACCAGAGATTGTTTTTCACTAGATGCAATGTGCTCTGGCACTCCTTCACTACCCATTCTGGCTGCCAAAGGCCCATCCCAAAACCTTTTTTCCCACACCCAGGTCAATCAGTCTCTACAGTATAAATTACCTCTCCTGTCTCACTGACTGACTTTTTATAAAAATGTATTCACATCTTTAAAATAGATTCTTAATATGTCCCTGACCCATTCAGAATTATTTATTAAGAATATATTTTAATATTTTTATGAGACAGATTATAAAAGGTGGGGGGGAGAAGATCACTACATTTTAATAAACTTAGTCCATTTACATAAAATATTTATTTAGTAATTTTAAATAAAGATATTAAATTAGTTAAAATTTTTAAAAAATCTTTAGTCAAAATAAAAATACTTAATTGTGAAAAATACACAATTCGGGGAACAAATAACTACTGCAACTTAGTAGCTGACACCCTCCGGGAACCCGAACATAGGTAGCCATGTATGTAACAGATGGGCCCTAACCCTCTTTGGCCACAGCTGATTGGACCTAGGTACACATCTGCCCCTAGCATAGACAATCAGATCGTAGCCTGAAGAATCCAAAAAAAAGACACAGGCACTGCAGTCAAATTGTGTAAACATGAGGGATATAAGGTCATAACTCAACAGTCGGCATATACAAGCCAAAATCACAGGGAGAAAGAAATTAATAGCATTAGAGAGTGGGAAGCCAGTCCACAGACAGATGCAAAGATGAGAGACCATATGGTCCTGAGAGGCAGAAAAGTTAACAGTGGTTCCTGGCTTTCCATTTCTAATTCCATGTGGTCTCAATGAACTTTCTTTGCATCTCTTTAGATGATTATGAGATCGCCTGTTAAAGAGGCAGATTCTACTCCCTAGGGACAAAAGTGCCCTAAATAAGCTAACATGTTCATGTAACAAATAAACATGTCACTGGCATATCTTTTGTTCTTGCTGTTTGTTAAGAAGATTGAACAATGTTTACAATATAAAACAGTCCTTCCTTAAAGATTTATGTATCAACATCCCAAGGTACTGCCTTGCTTTGTGTCAGTGGAGGAGGAAATAGGAAGAGAAAAGAATTCTGAAAAAGAATTTCAAGGTTCATGGCTAATCTCCTACAGAATGTCTATACAATACCTGCTTCTTGGAAGAAACATGGATTCCTTAATGAACACGGAACCAGAGAGGAGGATATACCAGCAGGTCCCAATATCATCAGGACTGAAAAGAAAAAACAATAGAATCAGATGATTATCTACAACCAAAAAAGAAATCAAAACATAATATAGCACAAAGTACAATACCCATGTTATTTTTAGAATCATGAAGAACAATGAAATAGCACAAAACATGTACATAAAATACCATTATTTGACTATTGTAATTCTTTTTTAAATTACTTTTTACCCCTCAAATAAGCTGAAGCTATTTATCAGTATATTTGTTTTAAATGTTCTTTAAAGCTATAGCACTTAGCATTCCAAGTTTCTTTTTTAGTTTAATTTTTTTGAACTAAAACATTTTTCCTTGCTTCATAAAACAAAAAAACATAAAGAGCTAAATAGTGAAACTCAGTCTTCCCAACCTATTCCCCTGTCTACCAAGCTCTCACATTTCTGTACCACACTTGTTGGATATTCTTTCAAAATTTCTTCATGCACACAGAAATAGACATATATTCTTATTCCCTCCACCATCTTTTTTTCTTTTTACAGAAAAGACAGCACACTCTACAGTGTTCTTTCCTTTGAAACAACTCTTAGAGATCTTTTCATTGGAAGACATCTTCCAGACGTGCCATATTTGACTTGAGCAACTCCCTACAGCCACTCATTTCAATTGTTTGTAATAATACGCAATTACTTAAAAAAAATAAAAACGGCAGAGTAATCTGTATGTACAATAATAACTGTAACTAGTAACTAGAAGTGCAACTGTTGAGTCAAAGGGTACATATACCTAATTTTGATAAATATTCTAAAATTGTTCTCCACAGGTGGTTAGCAACTTCTTTGCTTACCTGCTTCCCCACAGCCTTACTAAGATAGTTTGTTATATCTACTTAACAAATGAGTAACAATTTTATGACAAGGGCTTCCAGGTGTTTAGGATACTTCAGGAAACAACAATAACAAAAAAATATCCCTAGAATTAAATTAAACAAGGACCGATATAGTAAAGGGACAACTGGTATCAATTTAGTGCTTTACAGTTTACGAATCATTTTCTATCACTTCAACTGTCCTGTGAGGGAGTGACATCAGCATCATGGTGGAGTGGGTTCTCCTCTCAAAGATACAATCAAAAGGCCATTCATATTCCAACAGAGGACATCTGCACAACACAAAAGACGTCTGAGAGACCCAAGCAGCCATATGTTGGAAAGTGGAGGAGCTGAAGCCACCCCCCACACTCACAAGAAACTGGAATGAGGTAAGAGAATGATTCTTTTCTTCCTGACGGACAGCAACCCAGGGATTGTGAATGTCCTACGGGGGGGAAAGCAGGAAGGGAGTGGCAGTCCTCTGCAGTAACGCCATAGATCTCTGAGATTCCTCACAGCTGAGGGAAAAGCCCCTCACAGGGGTGACTAGCTATCATGGGGGTGTCTTCATCAAGCCAACATCCCAGGAGAGCAGACAGCAAAGGCAGAGTGAGAATGCCCTGAGATCATGCAAGAAAAATAAAGCATCCCTCCCCACCCCACCCAGCACGCCAGCCCAGCACCTGGGAGCTGTCCCGTGGATTGCAGCAGGCTCAGAACATGCAGCTCTTGAGTCCCACCCAGTGGCAACAGGTGGAAGAAGCAATCAAATACTACCACAATGCAGAAGCACAAATCCACACCATCTAGCAGTATGAAAAAATATATGAAATCTCTGGACCAGAAGGAAAATGACAAGTATCCAGAAATCAATCATGAAAATAGAAATGTATAACCTAAATGACAGAGAATTCAAAATAGCTATCATTAAAAAACGCAAGGAGTTAAAAGAGAATGCAGATAGATAGTTCAATGATTTCAGGAGCTACTTCACAAAAGAGATTGAAATCATAAAGAAGAACCAATCAGAAATATTGGATAGGGGCTGGCCCCATGGCCAAGTGGTTACGTTCACATGCTCCGCTGCAGCAGCCCAGGGTTTCGCTGGTTCGGATCCTGGGCGCAGACATGGCACCGCTCATCAGGCCACACTGAGGCGGCATCCCATATGCCACAACTAGAAGGACCTGCAACTAAGATATACAACTATGTACTAGGGGGGATTTGGAGAGATAAAGCAGGAAAAAAAAAAAGATTGGCCACAGTTGTTAGCTCAGGTGCCAATCTTTAAAAAAGAAGACAGAAAAAAAGAAATATTGGATATGAAAAACACAATGGAAGAGATAAAGCAGAATATAGATTCCCTGAATAGCAGAGCTGATAGCATGGAGGAACAAATCAGCAACATTGAGGACAGAAATATAGAAATGCTTCAGATGGAGGAGGAGGAAGAACTAAGACTAAAAAGAAATGAAGGAAGTCTCCAAGAAATATCCAACTCAATTAGGAAATGCAACATAAGGATTATAGCTATTCCAGAGGGAGAAGAGAAGGAGAATGGAGCAGAGAGCTTGTTCAAAGAAATAATAGCAGAGAGCTTCCAAATTTGGGGAAGAAGCTGGAAATTCATGTGAAAGAGGCCACCAGATATCCTAAAGATGTCAATGTAAAAAGGTCTACTGCAAGACATATAGTAGTGAAGCTGGCAAAAGTCAATGACAAAGAAAACATACTAAGGGCAGCAAGGCAGAAGAAAATAACTTACAAGGGAACCCCTATTAGCCTTTCAGCAGATTTCTCAGCAGAAACCTTACAGGCTAGGAGAGAGTGTAATGATATATTCAAATGCTTGAAAGACAAAAACACTCAGCCAAGAATACTCTAGCCTACAAAAATATCCTTCAGATATGACAGAGAAATAAAAACTTTCCCATATAAACAAAAGCTAAGGGAGTTCATCGCCACAAGAGCCCCCTACAAGAAATCGTCAAGAAGGCCTTCGTACCATAAAAAACAGAAGAGAGAGGCTACAAAGCCCTGAGTAAGAAGATAAATAGGTAGACAAAAACAGAAAATTATAGCTATCCATCAGAACAGGTTAGCAAATACTCAAGTATAACATTAAAGATAAAGTGAAGGAAAACACCAAAAACAAAGATAATCTTGCCATTTTAACCACCAACTCACAACCCAAAATGGAATAAGATGTGACAGAAACAACTTAGGAGGAGAAGAGGAAAGAGATTGAATCAGCATAGTCTAAGGAACCAAGACGTCATCAGAAAATGGACTATCTCATCTACAAGATTTTGCATAGAAACCTCAGCATAATCACTAACAGAGACACAAATAATAAGAAAACTAAGAAACACAGCATAAAAAACTACCTAATCAAATTGGTAGTTTGAAATACACGTGATGAGAGACAAAGGAAATGCAGGAGAAATGGAAAACGAGCAATAAAATGGCAGCAGTAAGCCCTCCTACATCAATAATCACTCTAAATGTAAATGGATTGAATTCTCCAAGAAAAAGACAGAGTGGTGAGATGGATTAAAGAAGACCCAACAACATGCTGGCTCCAGGAAACACATCTCAACTCCAATGACAAACACAGGCTCAGAGTGTAAGGATAGAAAACGATACTCTAAGCTAATGGCAAACAAAAGAAAGCAGGTGTTGAAATACTTAGAGCAGACAGTAGATTTCAAGATAAGACAGGTAAAGAGAGACAAAGAGGGGCAGTGTATAATCATCAAAGGGACACTCCTCCAAAAAGACATAACACTTATTAATATCTATGCACCCAACACAGGAGCACCAAGTACACAAAGTAAATATTAACAAACCTGAAAGGAGACATTAACAACACAATAATAGAAGGGGACCTAAACACTCCACTCACATCAATGGATAGATCATCCAGACAGAAAGTGAACAAGCAAACAGTGGAATTAAATGAAAAGATAGACCAGTTGGACTTAAGAGATATATAGAGAACACTTCATCCCAAAACAGCAAAATACACATTCTTCTCAAGCATGCCTGGAACACTCTCAAGGATAGACCATATGTTGAGAAATAAGGAAAGCCTCAATAACTTTAAGAAGATTGAAATAATAACAAGCACCTTTTCTGACCACATTGCTATGGAACTAGAAATTAACTACAAGAAAAAAACCTGAGAAAGGGACAAAGATGTGGACACTAAACAGCATGCTACTGAACAAACAAAGGATCACTGAAGAAATTAAAGGAGAAATAAAAAAATATCTGGAGACAAATGAAAATGTACCATACCAATTCACATGGGATGCAGCAAAAGCAGTACTAAGAAGGAAATTCATTGCAATGCAATACAGGCTCACCATAACAAACAAGAAAAATCCCAAATAAGCTAACTCAAACTACACCTAACTGAATGAGAAAAAGAAGAACAAAGCCCAAAGTCAGCAGAGGAGGGAAATAATAAAAATCAGAGTAGAAATAAATGCAAAAAAGACAGTAGAAACAAAAATGCAATAGGAAGGATCAATGAAACAAAGAGCTGGCTCTTTGAGAAGATAAACAAAATTGGCAAACCCCTGGCCAGACTTAAAAAGGAAAAAAGAGAGAACGCTCAGATAAAGTTAGAAATAAAAGAGGAGAAATTACAATGGATGCCACAGAAACACAAATGATTATAACAGAACACTATGAAAAGCTATATGTCAACAAATTGGACAATCTATAGGAAATGGATAAATTCTTAGACTCTTACAACCTCCCAAAGCTGAATCAAGAAGAAACAGACCATCTCAATTAGACCCATCACAAGTAAAGAGATTGAAACACTAATCAAAAACATCCAAAAAAATAAAAGTTCAGGACCAAATGGCTTCCCTGGTGAATTCTACCAAACGTTCAAATAGTATTTAACACCAATTCTTCTTAAGCTATTCCAAAAAATTAGGGAAGACAGAATACTTCCTAACACATTCTACGAGGCTAACATCACTCTGATACCAAAGCCTGACAAGGACAGCATAAAAAAGGAAAACTGCAGGCCAATATTGCTGATGAACATAGATGCAAAAATCCTCCACAAAATATTGGCAACCCAAACACAGCAATATATCAAAAAGATCTTACACCATGATCAAGTGGAATTTAAAACAGAGACACAGGGATGGTTCAATATCTGCAAATCAATGTAATACACCACAGTAACAAAATGAGGAATAAAAACTACATGATCATCTCAATAGATGCAGAGCAAGCATTTGACAAGATCCAACAGCCATTTATGATTAAAAAAAAAAAAAACTCTTAACAAAATGGGGATAGAAGGAAATTACAACATAATAAAGGCCATATATGACCAGCCAACGTCATACTCAATGGGGCAAAAACAGCTCCCTGCCTTCATGGAGCTTATATTCCAGTTGGACAATACAGATAATAAACAATAAAAACAATAAATTGGTAAACTATAAGTCAGTGCTCTGGAGAAAAAATTACTGTAGGATAGAAAATGAGTAGTGTGTTACAGTTTTAAATGGGTGATCAGGACAAGTCTCACTGAGAAGAGCACATTTGATTAAAGGAGATGAGTTAGCCAAAGGGATCCCTAAGGGATCAGCATTCCAGGCAAAAGGCAGGGAGGATCCAGGCACAAGTGCAAAGAGCACAGGCTGACACTGTCTTGCAACAGGCCAGTGAGGTGTGGCTGATGCAGCATGGGTGAGGGGCAAGCCATAGGTAAGCATAAGGCATCTATCATTGAGGCTTTTTATCAATCCTTTGGGTTTTCGCCAATTGGCTTGGATGAAAGTGGTATTTAGTGTAATTTTATTTTTCATTTCTTTTTGTTATTATCATAAAAGCATCTTTTTTCTTATGTTCATGACCCATATCTATTTCTTTGTCTGTGAAATCAGTTCATAATTTTTAGCCAATTTTCTACTTGGGACTTTTTCTTACCTAGAAGCACTTTATTAAAAATTAGCCTTTTGAAAACATGGGCTATGAATACCTTTTTCCTCAGTTTGTTGCTTATGCTTTGCCTTTGTTTACTGTGCTTCTTGCCACGTGTAAGTAATTTTATTTTATAGAGCCAAGTTTACCAAATATATTAGTGAGGATACAGGCTCAGTTACTATTAAAACAAAATGCAAAACACAGCAACGGCTTAACCAAGGAGGAAGTTCACTTCTTTCTCACACACATAATAACAGTCTTAGCACCAGGACCCCAAGGCTGATATGGTGGCTCAATGGTATCCACACCCAGGCTCTTTCTATTGTGTGGCTCAGTCATCCTCCACTGGCAGCTTCCATCTCATGTTCTGAGGCAGCAGCTCCAAATCTCAGCACCATATCCACATTCTAGCCAGTGGGAGGGGCAGAGA